GGACTGGCGAGGCGTCGTTGTCGAAGTCGAAGGTAGGTAGTAGGAGGTGCCATTGTTGGTCTTGGTGTGCTTGAAAAAACTAGGGTTAAGAATTATTTAACTAAGGGACAAAATTGTAATAAAAAAATTGAAAGATGATGGGTATTCAGTATATGAGTGGTGTGTAAATAGAATTACCTATGGGGAAACATGAATGACTATATTGTACTTTTATTTATTTCTTAAATTTTGGTTTTACCCTTCTAGAAGTATAAACTCATACATATGCACTCACTGGAAGATTTCACTAATATCTCAAACATGGCATGAGTTACACTAATTTTATTTTATTTTTGATTCTATTAATATTTTTTTATGAAATATTATATAATAAATACATAATTCAATTGGTAAAATTAAAAGGTAAATAAATTTGTTAAAATTACAAAAATTATACTTTTGGCCTAGTATAATTACATTTCATCTACAAATTGATGGTTATAATCCATCTTATCAGAGTTAGTTCAGTGACATAATAATCTTATCTTATCTTATCTTATCTTTCTTTTATTATTATTATTATTATTATTATTATTATTAATATTATTATTATTATTATTTTTGTCTCTCTCCCTCTCTTGTTTTATTATTTTTTAAATTGGTAAACATACATCTTTGGTAATTTTATTTTCCATGATAAAATGTACATATTTATTAAAAATTTTAAACTTGTATAAAATTTTATATATTTATACTCAAATCTATTACATTAATATTAAGATATATTTATGTATGAAAAAAAAAATTTAAGACCAAATTGGATTAAACTATGGGTCATGTTATAGCCTAGACTTGGACCTGACCAAGAAAATTGATCGGTAATTAATCAATTAATTAGTAGAAATACTTGGTAAATAATTAATCTAAATTTTATTATAGTTTTCCAGGATGTAATAGGCATGGATTAGCCTGAGGTTGCTATAATTGGGTTAGAGTGTGCGCGGTGCGGGTCGGTGCGGTTTGAGAGAAAAATAGAAACCGTATGGCGTGTGGCGGATTGATAAAAGTGTCACTAGAATTTGCCATGTTCTTTATCAAAAACCGGCGGTTTGGTTGGCAAATAATGGCGGATTTGCCTTGGCGGTTCGGGCGGATTGGCGGTTTATAAAAAATATAATTCAAATTACAAAACTTAAATCAAAGAGTAAAAAAAAGACAAGAGATACCGTTGTGTTAAGCAGCTTGCGAAGCTTTCTTCTGATGCAGCAAGTGTAGCAACAACATGATAATATCAACGAGTATGCCATTAGTTCATTACAAGCATCTGTGGAAGCTACAATGATCAAATACAATACATAAAATTAATATCATTCAGGGTTTACAATATATTGAAAATGTTTACTGTTAAAAAGTATTTAGATTGAAAAGTGAGCTGATACAAGTTTGCAACATGGCCAAATAAAATAAAAAAAAAAAAGATTGAAAAGTGAATTGGAATCCACTTTATTTTGGATTACTGACATCTTGAATTCCCCTCGAACAGTAATGTAATACTATATTCTAAGGTATAGAACAACAAGCAAACTTAAGTAAAAAAGAATTTTTAGAATCTTATAAAACATGATTTAATAGCGGTGCGGGTCAGTGCGGTTTGGAAGAAAAATAGAAACCGGCGGATTGATAAAAGTGTCACTAGAATTTGCCATTTTTCTTACCAAAAACCGGCGGTTCGATTAGCAAATAATAACGAATTTGCCTTGACGGTGCGGTTCAGTGCGGTTTTGACGATTTCGACGGTATTATGCACATCCCTAGGTTAGACACTAAACACAGCCTAAAAGCCGAGTTCAGGTTGATTTATATGCCAATTATAATTTTCAAGTTTTCATTTCATATTTTTCTCAATAAGATTAAGATACATGAGTCTTGAATTTTATAACTATTTTATAAAATATGATTATACCTAATTTCATTTATATTTTCATATAAAAATTTTCAAATTATATATGCTTAAAATTTTAATTAGACTTTCTTTTTAAAATTGGATGTAATTTAGGAATGGTTAAAATTTTTGTTTTGAAATGACTTTCTTTTTAAAATTGGATGTAATTTAGGAATGGTTAAAATTTTTGTTTTGAAATTCTATCTATAGCCATTTCTTTTCTTTTTTAATTATATTTATGGCTAGATGTATATTATGTCATATTTATATTTTAATTTTCATGAAAAATGAAGATATTTTGATTAATATTATAAAGTAAATATGCACGAATTTTAGACTAAATTATAATTGAAATTACTTCTGAGTAAAATTATGCCAGACTTCTTTAAAAAGATTTTAAATTTCAAGTTAGGCATGGATATAGCTAAAACATTTTTTTTTTAAACTTTTATTTTAGAAAATTTAAATTTAAAATCATAGATATATATAGCATTGATAATCGATGTCTTAAATAATTCATAAATTAATAAATTAAATTAATTTTTTAGAGATAATTACCTAAAAGTCTTATCTATATATTTGGTGGTAGCTTAGGTCCTATCAAAAAGTTTTTGAACCAATAAATCCCATTTAGAGGTAAAAAGACATTTTTGCCCTTTAACATAAACAACTGTATATAAAATTTCATTCACGTTATTTACTAGAAAGAAAAAAGGAATCAGTTAACAGATCAGTTATGGAAGTAGCTGAAGATTCGAATCGTGAACAATCTTGAAGGATTTATTGCTTTGGTTCGCTATTATACGTAATTGATTTCTCGATTTTATAGCGACCCCGGTCTTTTCCCATTTGATTATTGTATCCGGACTTAGGTTCCGTAGATTCTGTCATTGTATAATTGTTGTTGTCGTGTGCGATTTTGATTTATAAATTGAAGAATTGATTTGCTGGATATTTGATCTTCGATCTGGTTTATAGGTATGTATTGTTTCGATTTTGTATATTATGTTTTTTAAGAATTTTCTTTAGTTTTGATTGAATTTATTTATGAGAATATGTTGAATAATTTTGTTTTTATGAATTGAAGACGTGATTTGCTGGATGATTTCTTGGTTTGGTTATTTATTTTATGAATTGAAAACGTGATTTGTGAAGTGTTTGTATTGTTATGAAGTTTTTTGTTCTGGTGTTTATTGTTATGCAGTATTTGTGAAAACCGAGAAAGTTCTTAGTATTGTTCTGGTTTTTATTGATGTGATCTTTTTTTCTTGTTTAGATTGAAAGATGAGTGAAGGTTGTACAAGTGCGCCTATTTTTTTTGTTGTGCAAGTATAATGGTTGCACATTTGCAATTAAGATTGATCAAAATGTTACATATGATCAGTTGGTTGAGAAGCTATGTTTGAAATGGGATAATTTGCAATCTGATAATATTTGTCTATCTTACTCAATGCCTGGACATCCTAATTGTACGTTGGACAACAATGAGGAGTTAGATTTGTTGTTGGCATTAGTTGTGCATTTTGATTCAAAGTGTATTGATGTTGTTGTGCGAGTAAAAGACTTAACCATTGACTGTGGTTATCTCAACAAAATATTGGATTATGGAGAAGGAGAGTCAATGTTGGATCTTGAAGTTTGTGATATTGCATTGTCTCATGACAGCAGTAAGTCTGTGAACTTGTCAAACAGAGCATCTACATCCTCCAAAAGGAATTTGAGGTTAGAGGTTGAAGAAGAGGTTGATATGTTATCATCATTTTGTCGACACAAGGAAAAAGTACCGTTGTCTGCTGGTTGGGCAGTTAGTATTACACATGTAGGACAGAAATTTGAAGGTGGAATGATTGAATTTCGTAATGCATTGTCGAAGTTTTCTATTGAGTGTGGATTTGAGTTCATATTTGTTAAGAATGATAAAGTTTGTGTTACCGCACAATGTTTGTTTAGAGAGACAAAAGTTTGTATGTGAAATGTTCATGGTAGAGTGAAGAATGCTAATGGGTTCTTTTATATAAGGAAGTTGAACAATGTCCACACATGTGGTGCTGAAGTACGTACGATGAATCATTCTTGTATGAGTTCTGATTTAGTTGCTGATTTGATTGTTGAAGGTGTTCGTGATAATCTATTGACACGCCTAGTTCATGTTGTTCGGGATTTTAAGTTGGTGTATGGGCTAAGAGTTAGTTATCGTTAAGCTTGGTTGGGGGTAGAGAAAGCAAAATGTGAGATTTTTGGAGACTACTTAATGCCATTTGACCAGTTAAGATGGTATGTGGATGTTGCAAAGAGTTGCAATCCAGGGAGTTACATTGAGTTTAAGTGTGACGATGATACTAAACGGTTTAAGAGATTATTTGTTTTTTTTCATAGTTCCATTAGTGGATTTGATTATTGTCGACCTCTCTTATTCCTTGATGGCACCATTTTGAAGGGAAGATTTAGAGGAAATTTACTTACTGCTACAGGACAAGATGGAAATCAAGGTACATAAGAAATTTGTTTTCTCTGTTCTAAAATTGAGAAAGTTCTCAGGCCTCGTTTGGGAATCCTCCCTTTTAGCCAAAAAGTCAAAAAGTTACTAAATTAGCCAAAAAGCCAACAACTCATACCAAAAAGTCAAAGATTCTCTTTTCTCTCTACTTTTTGCATATCTTTTCGTAAAAAGTCAAAAAGTCATCCCAAACATACTAGTTTTTTTTAGCTCATATTTTAGCCAAATAGCCAAAAAGTTACTAAATTAGCTTGTTCTCAAACGAGGCCTGAGAAATATGATTGAATGTTTTAAATTTTATATAATATTGTTGTTGTATATGCATTTTTTATGTTTTTAGTTATTCATTTTAGTGTTTGATATTTTGAATGTTAGAGTGTTACCATTTTCTAAGAATAATATAATATTTTCATTTTTTCTGTTTTGTACATGCAGGGTTCTTTCCTGTTTGTTTTGCAGTTGTTGGCTCAGAGAATCAAGATAACTGGGGTTGGTTTTTGGAGCATTTGAGTAGAATTGTTTCACCAGAATGAAATATTACATTTGTGTCAGATCGTAGCCTTGGAGCCAAAGGTTTTCCCAATGGCTTTCCATGCTTATTGTTTATATCATTTGAAGATGAACTTGAGACATCATTTGCGTGGTATGTTACATGGATTGAAAGAAAAGCTAATCACTCTGTTTGGGAAATGGGCATATGCTCCAATTGAAGAAACATTTCATCAATGTTTGGTTGAGTTAAAGACTGAAGGTGGGTCAAGAGTTGAAAAGTTTTTAGATGATATATCATATGATCATTGGAGTAATGCATATTTTCGAGGACAACACTTTGGAGAGATGTGGTCAAATGTAGCTGAATCTTTCAATTCGTGGATACGAGAGGAACGCCACTTGCCTATCACAAAGTTGATTGATAGTGTAAGAATTAAGTTGATGATGAAAATTGCTAAAAGGAGGGAACTTGTTAATAAATGGAATGGTTTGATATGCCCTAAAATGGAGTCCAAGTTGCATGATGGTTTTAATACTTCGAGGCCATGGATTGTTAGTTCATCTGGAAATGATGTCTATGAGGTGCATTCACATCCATCTGTTTCAGTTGACATTAGTAGACGAATATGTTCTTGTGACAAGTGGCAGTTGAAAGGGTTTCCATGTGCACATGCAGTTGGTGCTATACAAAAGAGTGGACATGATTTGAGTTTATTTGTTGATCAATACTTTTATGTTCAAAGTTATCGAGAGTCCTATTCTTTTCCCATATATCTTGTTCCTTCAATTTGGAAACCAGATTGTAATGTTGATGGTGATAGTGAAGTTATTATTTCTCCTTTGTCTAAGAAGCAACCAGGAAGGCCAAATAAGAAGAGGATTCGTTCAAATGGTGAGAAAGTGAGGCAAATTACTTGTAGTAGATGTGGGAAGGTTGGCAATCACAATAAGAAATCGTGTAAGGAGGCTTTGTGATTTTTTGTAGTTGCTTTGTGATTGTAAAAGTTTCGTATTCATAAATTTCTTGAAGTAGCAGTTTGTGCTGTTGAGCGCTGAGTAATAATCTTCTATGTTTTGAATAAAGTGACATTGAATTGAAAGTGAAAATATTCTTAGTTTAAAATTTTAATTTTTGAAATTGTTTGTGATAATATTGTTTGGTTAGCTTTCGAAAATAAACTTGACTGTTGAATGTTTGTTTTGAAGATTATGTGAATACTGTATAAAAAGTGAACATATTCTTAGTTTAAGTTTTTAGTTCAAAATAGCTGATTTTGTGATAATAGTGTAAGGCTCTTGTTATGAATTGGAATTAGTTATAAATGTGATCAATTGAATGAATGAATTAATATTCTAAATAGATGTGGTCAATGCTTTGTGTTTTGATTAAATTAACAGTGGACTGTAAGTGAAAATATTCTTTGTTTCGAATTTTAGTTTTTCAAATTGTTATAATATTATGAGGCGGCAAATAAATTGTTGTGATAATATTGTTGTTTGAAAATTGAGTGATCTGTATAAAACTGAAAATATTCTCAGTTTTAAAGTTTCTAAGTTTGAAAATAAGTGATTGAAACAACAATAAGTTTGAAAATATTCTCAATTTTAGTTTTATGCAGTGTTTTGTGAGGCAACAAAACATTGCATAAAAACTGAAAATATAAACAAAAATATCAACAAAGTACTGATTGTGATACAGTAAAGTCTTGTGTTCACTATTTTCACATGTAATACTATTTTCGCTTTTGCCATATAGTAGTGTGAGGAACAAGATAATAGAAACTGAGAATATTGACAAAAATATCAACAAAGCTGGGTGCATATATCTTTGAGAGTATGACAAAATATTCCATTACACATCATAAAAATTGTAATATGTTTGTTAGGTAATATGCTTGGAAGTATTAACAAAAACATTAGTCATTGTATCAGAGTGTTACAAAAAAGAGTTCATTGAGTTATACATCAAAAAGGATTTCATTGAAGGTTGCAATCTTGACTTTACTTGACTTTGATTGATCTTTGTGGATCACTGAGGAACTCATGCACCATGTCTGCTCTGAGTCTTGTGGATGTGCCTGGTGGTAATGTGTTTGGAATTGGTTGATGCCTCATGTATTGTCTTATGATGTAACAAACAATAATTCCACAGTCATTCCTACAGAAATCATTTTTGACACAGTTAGGGAAAAAAGAAATTTTTTTGAAAAAGATATTAAAATTTGTTAGTTAGAATAAATTAACATACGTCATTGCTTCTTGTTGAGGGCTGTCTTTGACTGATTCAATCTTGAAATCAGGATTCCAGGCTTTTTCTACTTGACAAGGTGTATCCTTTATGTAGTGATGGATGATTTTTTGCTATAAAAAACATCAACATAAAGTATGTAATGATTTACATTTGATTATTGTAATACTAATATGAAATTGTTCTTACCAGTTGATTTGCAACGTTGTAGTGCTTGTTCTTTCATTTTTTTGGTCTCAAAGAGTTGAAATGTTTCCAAGTCCCCAAGTGTTTGTCGATAACAAGTAATGTCCAATGATTGAAATTGTGGATGGGGATATGGATGTATCGACATGGGAGGGATTCTTGCAAAGTATTTTTCAAAATCTTTTTCCTTTGTTCTGAAGTTTTCTTCTTCAACATTGGCTATTTTTTACAAAAAATATGTGAATATTCACAGTAATGGTGCGAACTCAATATTCATATGTCGATGAAAAGCAACAAAACATGATTAACTACGATTTATCACTCAAATTGTTTTGAAAGCTGAGTATATTCCCAGCAATGATACCAAAATCAAAATTTAAGAACATTCACAAGAATGATAACAAACACAAAAAATCTACTTTGAAACCAAAATTGAACAGAAGATAAAGTATAGAATTGACACATGCACATTGGTTCCTTACCCAATATAGACTTGACAGTATGAAAGACTTGCCATTGTGCTCTGCTCCATCACCAGAATTCTGTGCTTGTGGTTCTCTTTCAAGAATCTCAGCATATGCATCAATTGTCTATCAAATTGAAACACAAAAGTGATGTTAACAAATTAATGAGAAGTTTTTCAGTGTTAAAATATTACAAATATTATACGTACACAGCTAGATATGTCTGTCCCTTTTACCAAGTTCTTGATATCATTAATAAACACACAATTTTCATATCTTGCTCCAAACCATATACAAGCACTACAAAACAATAAAAAATGTGTTAATAATTAAGTCAGAATATTTTTAGAAAACAGAGCTATTTCTTAGTTTCATTTCATATATTTGTACTACATGAAAAATTGAAAGATTTATGTAAGATTATACCTTGATTCTGTTTGCTTTTCTTTCGAAAGAATTTGTAGTTTCTATTTATCTTCAGGAGGTAGCAATTGAGCCACAACATACTTGTTTGAAATTGTCTCATCTTTGTGTTCCTTCTCTTTCTCAACTTTAACTTTCTTGCCTCTATACTCATAATCTAATACCTCAGTAGTCTTCCTTGCTTTAGCTTTGATATTTTTAATCATGGAATTCTGTAGATTTGTTTGTCTTGATTCTGTCAGATCATCGGCTTTTATTGCCCAAACTTGTTGGGTTAAGTCATGGACTTATTCCTCCACTAACTGATTCTGCAACTGAGAATTTTGACCATTTTTCACATTTGTATTTGTCTCACAATGTTTTGTTGCAAAACATTGTTGTGTTATCTCATGGACCTCTTTCTGATGGAGCTCTTTGTCCACCACTTCAGAATTTTCATGGACCTCTTTCTGTAGCACTTGAGAATTTTCATCGTTTATTGTATGACCTTCATTCTTTGCATCTGTTCCAAACTTCTTGGGTTATCTTATGGACCTCTTTTTCAACCAATTGGTTATGTAATCGAGAATTTTTATCTTTCAATTGTTGTATTTGTGCTGTGAGTAGCCTGTTATCCTCTTCAAGTTTATTTATGTAGATGGTCTTCACCATGTTGTCTAGTTGCAAATTGTTGTTCTCAGTTTGAAGTTTCTCAAGTGTTTGTTGATGAATTTGTTCTTCTCCCTCAGGTGCATCATTGAGTATAATGTTGCAGAAGCCATTAAAGTCTTCATTTGCTAGCTTTTGTTCTTGGTGGCACTCTTCAGCATATTGACCATCTTCTTCAGAATCTTCTTTTTCAGTATTTTCAGCATCTTGATTTTGTTGTTCTTGTTCTTGTTCTTGTACTTCTTGTTGTTCTTCTTCAGCATCTTCTTGTTCTTTATCTTCAGTATTTTCAACATCTTCTTTTTCTTCTTCTTCAGTGTCATCAAGTTCTTCATCACTTTCCTCATTCAATTGAGCACTAGTTACATATAGGTCAACATACAATAGATATTAGTTTTTGAAATAATTGAAGTTTAGGAAACTAAAAAATTTCTAAGTAATAATTCAGTGTATAAAAATAGGGATTTTTCCCAACTTGAATTGAAATTCAAATGAGATGAGGATGTGACCTGTCTTGTTGTCAGCTGATGTAGTGATATGACTTTCATACGTTTATGTAATTTGGTAAGATTCCACTTGATCACCCTTGGGCATGCTTTGCTAACTTCAGGGTGGATGATCAGTGTGTGCTCACACAACCAATACTACAAAGCAAATGTAAAGAATTTTTGTCATTTGAATAAGAAGTAATACTATCTGTCATTAACAACAAACTAATAGAATAGAGTAAAGATGTACTTACTAAGAGAGTCATAACACATCCTGTGACTTTTGCTGGATTTTTGTGGTATTTTTCAATTGAAGACATCAGTGTGCTCCTTATTGCTTTTGCCCAATTGTATTTTCTCATTGAGTTTATGTCTTCCATGTAATTAAGAAATACCCATCCAACTGTTGTTCCTGATGTAGAGAAAAAAAGCTTCAAACAAGTATACATACACAACATTCTTATCACATCTTCATTGTCTTCTTTCTTCTTGCCTTTCAATGCTTTTTGGAACAAGTCTATGATGGTTGTGCTCGATAGCCTTTCAGTTTGTATGGATCTTCTTGTAAAAAATGATGATCTGCTTTTATTTCCATAACCAAGATGTATCGGCTCATCTCCACAAGATATACCGAAGATGGACTTGATGTCTTCTGTTGTTAGCTTTACAGTTTCTGGTCCTAACTGGAAAGAACCACTTCTGCCTGGTTGGTATGTTTGAATTATTTTCAATGCAATGTCATCATATTTTCTGCATTGTTTATAATTCAGCTTATTTTGCAATATTGCATCAAACAAAAACCAAAATGGGATTTTCTTCAAGCCATTAATATGCTCATTCCTGAGTTTGATATGCTGTAATAGCTTCATTATTGTCCCCATGTTTGATCTGAAAGTTAATCTCCATTCTCTACGTTTTCCCTTTTGCTTTTATCCGTTGAAGTTGATTTTTTATGCTTTCTTATCATTTTCTTTGCATTACTTTTTAGTCTTGGGGTTTTCATGAGTTGCTTTCCTATACGGAAAATCAACATAGACAAGATATAAATACTGAGAATGTGTCCTAAAAGAATCAATACAATGTCATTCTCATGAAGTCTAAGTTTGATGACATTCATGGCTATAAAAACAAAATCAACATTGAAAGTTAAATTGAAAGCAAGAGAAGATTATTAACTAGGGTTTTTCACTTAAATTGATTCAGAATATGAGAACATTCACAGCAATCGCAGCAAAAATCAACATTGAAACTTAAATTGGAAGCAAGAGAACATGATTAACTAGGGTTTTCAATCAAATTGATTGAAAACTTGAGAAAATTCACAACAATCATGTCAAACTCAATATTGAAACCTAAATTGAAATCAAGAGAATATAATTAAGTCCGGGTTTTCACTCAAATTGACTAAGAATCTGAGAACATTAACAACAATTGTACGAAAATCAACATTGAAACCCAAATTGAAACCAAGAGGATATGATTCACTAAGGTTTTTTACTCAAATTGTCTAAGAATCTA